GTTAAATATAAACCATGTCTTTCAGTTAAAAGACCTGTCAGATAAGGAGTATGGTACACACCTGTAATCCCAGCACTTGGGAGTTGAAGGCCAGGAGTTCAAGGCCAGCCTTGGTTATATTGTGAGTTCAATGACAGCCTGGGCTATATGACACTGTATCTCAGAAAGAAAAAGAGACAGAGAGAGAGAGAGAAAGAAAGGAAGAAGGGAGAGAGATCAGGTAGCAACAATAGTAAAAGAAAGCAATACTCTTCCAGTAGTTGATAGAAGAAAAAAAAACTGATAAAAAAAAATGATGGCAGGTATTGAATGAATGTTACCAAATAAGTAAATGTGACCTATAAACTTAACTGGAATATTATATCCAGTGCAGAAGTCTTTTCAGACTCATAAAATGGTTATATAACTTGCCATTTTCTGAATCATAGGGAAATCTCGGCAAATATCAAAGGATTAAAATGAGGTAATTTTTTTTAAATCAGATATAGTCTATTAAAGTTAGAAATAATTAACAAAATATAGCTAGAATGCCCTTATATGTTTGGCAATTAAGTAATATTTTTAATAGAATGAGTCAAATAGTAGAAATTATATCAATATCTTTAAAAACATCCTAATAAAACTCTTATATTAGTAAAGGCTTATGAAATTAAAAACAACAGTAATTTGTTTGTTTGTTTTCGAGACAGGGTTTCTCTGTGTAGCACTGGCTGTCCAAGTTTGCTCTGTAGACCAGGCTGGCCTAGAGCTCACAGAGACCTCCCTGCCTCTGCCTCCTTGTGTGTATACCACCACCTCCTGGCTTCTTTTCTTTTTCTTAAAGACAGGGTCACACTATGTAGCTCTGGCTGGCTTGCTGGCCTGGAACTTTCTATATACTCTAAATCCACGGAGATTACCTGCCTGTGCCTCCTGAGTGATTATAACTTCTTTTTGTTGTTGTTGTTTTATTTTTTTGAGAAAGGGTTCTCTTTGCAACAGTCCTGGCTATTCTGGAACTCATTTTGTAGACCAAGCTGGCCTTGAACTCAGAGAGATCTTCCTGCCTCTGCCTCCCAAGTGCTGGGACCAAAGGTGTGTGCCACCACTGCCCAACTTGTTTTTTTTAAGGCAGTTGTCTTACTGTATAGCCGTGGAACTTAACCTGCCTCCACCCAAGATTGAAGGCATGCACTACTATGTCTAATCGAATTTGTAGCTTTAATAGCATATAATTGCAAAGAAATAAGTAAAATTTAGTGGGCTAAGTATCTCAATGAATTGAAAAGAAAGCAAAACAGCATGACCCCTCCTGATAGATGGGAGGTGACAAGGAGTAGAAATGAACAAAATAAAAACCACATATATGATGAACAGGCTAACTAAGCAGTAGTTAATGGTGGGGTGGGGATGTAGCTAAGTGACAGAGTGCTTTTTTAGCATATACAAGACTCTAGATCTAGCCCCTGGCACTGAAGAAAGTCAGAAAATGCTATGGTGTTGTAAACTTCTTATCTACTTGTCAAGAAAAAAAAAAAAAGGAATAAATAACCAAATCAAAAGAGTATAGCAGGTGAAGTCACTACAAATACTGTAAAAGTTTATAAGCACAGGATATTATGAATAACTTTATGCCAGTAAAATTTAAAATGTTAATAAAAATAGCAAACAGCTAGGCAGGCACGATGATAAAAATGCCTGTGGTCCCAGTGAGGATTGAGTCAGCCTGGGCCGCATAACAAGATCTCATTCTAAATGAGTATAGAAGCAAAAACAACAAACTTCTAGAACATGATTTAAAACTGATTCAAGAAAAATATAAGGCCTAAATGATCTTAAAATCCTAAAGAAACCCAACCAGTAGAATAATTCTTCAAGGAAGACTCTAAGTCTAGATGGCTTTGCCAGCAAATTCTAACAAGCTTTAAAAGTAACAGTAATTTGAAACCTGCATTACCCTTTTCAGCCAATAGAAAAAGAGGGAATGCCCCCAAACCAAATTGAAGTAAGTAGTACAATTTTGTTGTACCCCGACAGAGAAGTTATAATCCCAGTTCATTCATGATGATATATGTAAAAAAAACTCCAAGGTTGACCCCAACTAACAAGCTAAGCAGTAGTTGAGAGGCTACCTTAAATGCCCTTCTCTGTTAATGAGATTGATTACTACCTTATATTTCATCCTAGAGCCTTCATCCAGTAGCTGATGGAAGCAGACGTAGACACCCACAGCTAAACACTGAGCTGAACTCTGGAATCCATTTGCAGAGAGGGAGGAGTGATGAGCAAAAGGGCCAAGACTAGGTTGGAGAAACCCACAGAAACAGCTGACCTGAACAAAGGGGAGCTCATGGACCCCAGACTGATAGCTGGGAAACCAGCATAGGACTGATCCAGACCCTCTGAATGGGGATGTCAGTTTGGAGGTCAGGGCAATCTGTGGTGCCTCTGGTAGTGGATCAGTATTTATCCCTAGTATACAAATGGACTTTGGGAGACAAATCCACATAGAGGGATGCTCTCTCAGCCCATACACACAGGGAGAGTCTAGGCCCTGCTCCAAATGGTATGACAGGCTTTGAAGATCCCCCATGGAAGGTCTCACCCTCCCTGGGGAGCAGAGGGGGGGGTGGGATAGGGGTTTGTTGGGGGTGCAGAGGAGGAAGAGGGAACTGGGATTGACATGTAAAACAAGCTTGTTTCTAATTTATTTTTTTTAAAAAAGGGAAAAAAATCTTGAACTGCACATTAATAAGCACTATGGTATAAAGGATATGCAGTAGAGGTAATATCACAAAGAAAATGGTTTGTGTTTTTGTTACTTTCCTAATTGCTACAGTGCTGACAAAAGAAGGCTTCTTTTGGCTCACAGTTACAGGGGACAGCCAGTTATGGTGCAGTCATGACAGCAGGTACCTGAGGCAGCTGGTCACATTGCATCCAGAATTGCAAAGGAGAGAAGAAAGATAAATGCTGGTGCTCAGCTCCTTTTCACTTGTTTATTCCATCTGAGACCCCACCCCTCAGTAGTGCCATGCCCATTCAGGGTGGGCCTTCTCTTTTTGTTAAACCTTTGTAGAAAGACCCTCATAGAATACCCAGATGTGTTCTTTGGTGATTCTAAATCTAACCAAGTTGACAGTGAATATAAACCATCACATTTTCTTCAAGGTTATTATAAAAGTTCTTTAACATTAGAAAATTAGTTTCACTCTACATTAATAGAATGAAGGACTTATGAGGATAAGAATTCTACACAAAAAGAATAAAATGGCCGGGCATTGGTGGCGGATGCCTTTAATACCAGCACTCGGGAGGCAGAGGCAGGCAGATCTCTGTGAGTTCGAGGCCAGCCTGGTCTCCAGAGCGAGTGCCAGGATAGGCTCCAAAGCTACACAGAGAAACCCTGTCTCAAAAAACAAAAACAAAAACAAAAAAAAGAATAAAATGATGGCATAATATAAAGTAAAAACTGGGAATTCCTCTCTTGGCTCTCCTTTTACTCCTGGGAGTTAGTACTTTCTCACTATTTTTGTTTTGTTTTTCAAGATAGGGTTTCTCTGTAGCTTTGAAGCCTGTCCTGGAGCTTGCTCTGTACACCAGACTGGCCTCAAACTCATAGAGATCTGCTTGCCTCTGCCTCCTGAGTGTTGGGATTTAAAGGCGAGTGCCACCACTACCCCGAAAGCTCACATTTTCTTAATGCATTTACCTTTACAAAAAAAAAAAAAAGCTAATAAGGAAAATTCCTCATTAATGTAATAAAATATAAAAATCATATGATCATCTCAATAGAGGAGGAAAAATTGTTAATAAATTTAATAACCACTACCTATAAAAAGTCTTAGCAAACTAAGAGGGTTTTCTTAATTTTATGAAGAATCAACAAAGAAAATGGTTAAAATTAGAAACAAAAGAGATACTGTTACTTTTATTCAGCATTATGCCTGATGTTCTAACAAGCAGGGTGAGGAAATTACGTAAATAAATGGGAAGCACAGAGGAAGAAACAAAGGCTCCATTATTCATAGCTGTGTAAAGAGTCTGAAGGGATCTGTAGACAGGTTACTTGAACTAAAAGTTTACCAAGGCTGTCAGATACAAAATAACATATGACAATTATTTTACTTCTGTATGTGAGTAGCAAGTGATTAGAAGTACATCATTTATGAAATAATAGGATCTGGGAATATACCAGAAGTCTGGTACAATCCCTGAGGAAAATTGTGAGGCTGTCTTATATTCAACGCTCCATTGCCGAGGAGATGAGCTGTGTGTGCTTTTAGACTGAAGGTTCAATGCTCCTAGGATTTTCTTCCCACCTTGTTGGAATTGGGGTGATCCTGGGAAACTCAAAAAGTGTTCACCTTTTTGAGATCTAACAAGTTCATTTTAAAATACAAAGACAAATTCAAAGGACCTAGAAACCAAGTTAGCAGCTTGGGAACAGCAGGTGCATCATGATTTCTTTGGTAAAGAGTAGGACAGTTGGGCTGAGGAAATGGCTTAGAGGATAAAAGGTACATGCTGCCGAGACCTGACAAGCTGATCTGAGTCCCAAGGTGGAAGGAGAGAACCTACTCTGGGCAGTTGTCCACTGGCCTCCATGAATATGTCAGGGTAGCTTCAGTCTCTCTCTCTCTGTCTCTCTCTCTTTCTCTCTCTCAAATATCTACTTGGGAGGTGGATTTTGGGGGAGGGATCCACTTGTTTCCGATGTTATTGGAATTTAGTGATACAATTTTGATATGAATGGCCAATGTCTTAGAATATGTATTACTTATAAAGAATAATGATTTTATTTTTAGTGTGTGTAGAAAGTAAAAATGAAACATTTCCCAGCAACAGTTTAAAGACGTGTGCTTAGTGGTTTATTCACACAACTAATCAATATTTTAAAGTTTATGTTGAACCAGTTTCCACAATAAGAATTCTGGCGAATTCAAGTTACTATGAAGCATACTAATGAATTTCAGTAAAACAAGTTCCAAATTGTTTTAAGTTTTTCTGTTTTCTTTCAGACTTGTCACGAAATCGCCTCTCAGAAATTCCTATGGAAGCGTGTCACTTTGTTTCTCTGGAAAGTCTTAACCTGTACCAGAATTGTATTCGATATATCCCAGAGGCCATTCTAAACTTACAAGCTCTGACGTTCTTAAATATTAGGTAAGAATAGTATTCTTTCAGAAAAAGTGGTTTTATATGATCTTTAATTTTGAACCTCTCTGTCACTAAAATGTTTACAGTTATTTATGGTACCTGTTCACACCAGCAGTTTCTAATAGGTTCTTAGGATATTATGACAGTTTCTCCCTCGTTTCTCTTGTTTCTCCCTTTATTTTTAGCTTTGCATAGTTAACAGACCCTGCTAGCCATTAGCTTAATAGGCTTGTAGAAGTCTTGCAGCCATGGTTCTCCAGTTACATTTTCAAATTAGCTTCAAGAAAATACTACATCTGATGGACTGGGTGGGATACAGCTTAGCTGGTAAGAGCATGGTGTGCACAAGGCTCTAGGTTCAGTCCCCAGCAAAACACACTACTTTGGTGTTTTTGTTGTGTGTGCATATAATGTGAGTATTTGGGTTTGTGCTGTAACGCACATACAGAGGCAAAGGACAACTGTGTAATCACTTCTTTACTTCCACTTTTATGTGGGTTCTAGAGATTGAATTCAGCTTGCCATTCTTGTAAAAAAGTGCCTTTACCCACTGAGCCATCTTGTTGGACATTAGAAGTGCCCAGTTTATATGCCTTAAAAAAATTCCATTCCTGAGGCTAGAGAGATGACTTAGTATTTAAAAGCTTATACTGCTCTTTCGGAGAACTTGAGTTCAGTTCCTAGCATCCTAGTCAGGCAGCTCACAAATTGCTTCTCCAAGGGAATCTGGTGCCCTCTCTGGCTTCTTTGGGTGCTGTACTCAACGTGCTTAGACCCACCTCTCTAACATATGCATACATGCTTAATTAAAAATAAAAGTAAAACATAAAAAATAGAATTCATTCTGTTCAGATATTTAGTTCTAGAAGTTTTTAAAATCATGTTAAAAATAGCACTACTAGAGAAATTTGCATGTAAATGTTAACCTTTTCTTAATAAGCATGTGTAGGAATAGAATTATTATTCAATTAAAATTTTTTTTAAAGTCCATTAACTATATTATTGAACAAAAAAGATCTTGAAAATGGGGAAAGACCGTGCGTTGGTAGCCCACACCTTTAATCCCAGCACTCAGGAGGCACAAGGCAGGCAGATCTCTGAGTTCGAGGCCAGCCTGGTCTACAGAGGGAGTGCCAGGATAGGCTCCAAAAAAAGAAAAGAAAATGGGGAAAGACCGTGCGTTGGTAGCCCACACCTTTAATCCCAGCACTCAGGAGGCACAAGGCAGGCAGATCTCTGAGTTCGAGGCCAGCCTGGTCTACAGAGGGAGTGCCAGGATAGGCTCCAAAAAAAGAAAAGAAAATGGGGAAAGACTTGACCCTAAAAGAATTATTATGGGGTTAAATTTACAAAGTAAACTTTAATTTGTTTTTGTACTAATGATAGTTGTGCTTTATTATTTTGTGTTTCTGATTTTCTTTTTTAATAAACAAAAATTCCTGTTATCTGTTTTAAGTTTAGTCAGCTGGGAACTGATTAAACTGACAAGAACTAAAATCTAGTATCCTATTTGTTCCTTCTAAGACTTATTTTTGTATCTAAAATGACAAAGATGGAAACTTTTTTATCAGTGGTGTCTGACTGCTCTTTCTCTACTCATTTAGTCGGAACCAACTGTCAACATTGCCAGTACACTTGTGTAATTTACCATTGAAAGTCTTAATTGCTAGTAATAACAAATTGGTCTCACTTCCTGAAGAAATTGGACATCTCAGACATTTGACGGAACTTGTAAGTTAATATTTTATTTTTTGATTGTCCAACATGTCTGCAGTCTTCTCTATGATAAAAATTGAATACTAAGATTGTTTTGAAAATAATTTTATAGCTTTGGCTTGAAATATAATTAAGTAAGTTTTAAATGTACAAGTCTTAATATCTCCACAGAAAATGGGGACATGTCATTGGTTATTTTCTAACTAGCATTAAATGATTTCTGTGTTACTAAATTTTTGAGGCATAGTTAATAATGTAGTTGAGTTTTCAAATTAAAATTTTAATATCATCAATATTTTTATGATTTTTCTTAGCCTTTATTGGTGTATGGGCACTCCAAAAGTTACTTTGTGTTTTGGATGTTTGGTTTCCTCTTGCCATACCCTTGGAATAGTAGCTAACTTTAACTTGTTATTATATATTTTCTGAGATATATTAAACTTTACCTACTATTATTTGTGACTATACAAGAAACCATCTTTTAAGTGATTATGTTTTGAGTAGTTAAAGAATCAGACTAGCCGGGTGATGGTAGTGCACCTCTTTAATCCCAGCACTTCAGAGGCAGAGGCAGGTGAGTCTCTGTGAGTTCAAAGCCATCCAGGGCCACACAGAGAAACCGTGTCTAAGGGGGAAAAAAAAGTCAGACTATTTATATCCCCATATCATATTATAAGCTGGATTCTAATATTGTCTGCATTTTATAGCTGAGACACCAGTACTCAGATGATGTACTCTGCCAGAGGCTGTGTAACCATACAATTGGAAATCAGCCTGCTTGGACTAAAGCCATGTTTCATATCACAATAAATAATTAAATGCAGCTGTGTCCATTGAGATTTAGAAATACAGTGTGTGTGTGTGTGTGTGTGTGTGTGTGTGTGTGTGTGTGTGTGTGTGTGTGTGTGGTTTATTGATAAAGATGGTTATAAACAGAAAAAAATGGTTATAAATGTAGTTGGACAAATTAGATATTGGTGGTGGGATTTAAGTATAACAGGTTATAGGTTAAAAATTCACTGACATTAAATCTAGAGTTGGGATTTTGAGCTATCTAGACCTTGGAAATAAATCCAAAATGTATGTTTGGGGGCATCCTTTAGAACTTGACTTGTTAGCACGAAGTAGGTATAACTTATACACTTAAGTTCTTTTGTTTATTTTTTCCATGATAGACAAAATATAAGCATTTCATTTTTATTCAAATTTTTTTCATACAGTATAGTTTGATCATATTCTTTTTTGAGAAAAGGTCTTACTTTGTAGCCTATGCTGGCCTTGAACTCAGTCTCCCTACCTTAGTTTCCCAAAGTCTTATTGTCAAATCATTTAAACTTACAAATACTTATTAAGTCCTAAATAGATAGCAGATAGGAACATGTTTGAGATGCTGCTTTTAGTTTTCTACAGGAGGTGCTAATTAATGTGCTCCTGCCCTCCTCATTCAGGGAACCTGACAAAGCAAGGATGATTGACTTCAGAGCTGCTGCTTTCCTAGTGGTCTTTTCACTGCACCCTTGTGGGTGGAAGTAAATGACTTTCTGTCAACACATGTGCTTTCTGAGAGGTACATCACACATTGCTAAGGTTCCTTTTCAACTTCTTTTTTTTTTTTTTTTTTTTTTTTTTTTTTTTTTTTTTTTTTAGGGTTTCTCTGTGTAGCTTTGGAGCCTATCCTGGCAGTTGCTCTGGAGACCAGGCTGGCCTTGAACTCACAGAGATCCTCCTGCCTCTGCCTCCCAAGTGCTGGGACTAAAGGCGTGTGCCACCAACGCCCGGCCCTTTTCAACTTATTTTACTACCCTTTCTAAATTTGTTGCACTGGACTTCAAAGTCTAATTTTTTATTCTACTTCAGTCATTAATGAATAGGAAGGTGAGGTGAAATAATTCTTTTCTCATTTGAGAAAAGCAAAATAATGTCTGGGACCAGTGGATCAGCAGAGCAGGTAAAAATGTGTGCAGCCAAGCCTGGCCACCCAAGTTCAACCCCTGAGGCCCATTTGGTCGACAGAGAAAACCACATCACTGTTCTCTGGCCTCCCCACACCAGAATTCCCTCCCCACTTCCTCCGATCTACAAATAAATAATAAATTAATAAAAAGTTTTAAAACTGTCAGAAGCTTATTGAGGCTTTGTAAGTAGTATGAATTACCATTTGTCACTCATGTATTGGAGGACTTTTAAGCATCCGTGTACAGCTTGAGCTTCCTTTTGCTACACGTGATTATGGTTTTATAAGTTAGTCTAATTGGCCTCAGAATTATGGAATCCTGAATTTATTAACCTTGGAAGCTGTAGCTAGCCACTTTATTCAAACCTGTTGGAATCATCTCTTAATCAAGCTACCAGCAGGTTTCTGTATAGTGTATTAGACTCAGGCTGACTGGATAATAACAGCCTGTTTTCCCATAGCCTTTGAGTTGTGTACAGCTTATTATTTCCCTTTATATTCAGTAGGGCAAACATTAGAGTCATTGTCTACATTTTAATTTTATATTCTTGAACAATCAAACTGATATTTTGAAAAATGATGACTTTTCTGTGAAATAACTTTCATTTAACTTTTATCATTGTTTTATTTTTCTATCTTAATTAGAACAGTATAAAATAAAATACACATTTTTCTGCTTAACTTTTCACAAACATTTTCATTGAATCTGATATTCTTGGCCTTCTATTTATATCTTAAGCCATATCATTTTAATTTTAGAATTTTTCTATAAACCTATATAAAATATAAAGAATTATTCAAAAGCCTGTAATTAAAATAAATGAGAATACAAACTGAGGTATTCTTAGATACTGGGTGATAATATATATATATATTATAAAATATATTTTTTATGACCAGTAAGGAATGTAGGTATTATCTTGCCTAATATCATTTTGTAAATATTTTAAAGCAAGCAGGTTTGTGATTAGAATAATCATACCTTGGCACTCTTTTGAAATAGGATGTTAGCTGCAATGAAATTCAAACTGTACCTTCCCAGATTGGTAATCTGGAAGCCTTGAGAGACTTTAATGTAAGAAGAAATCATCTAGTACGTTTGCCTGAAGGTAAGAAATGATGAAATAATTGTTTTGTTTGGTATTTGTCTTTTTATTTTAAAGATCTCTCAGTCTGTGTATGAGTTAGAGCCAGTGTTTGAGATCATGGCATGGGCCTGTTATCCCAGCTACTCAAGAAGCTAACACAGGAAGATCACATCATGAGCAACTGAGTGAAACTCTGTCTTAAAGTCAAAATTAAAGGGAGGAAAATCATGAGTCTTGAGCCAGCCTGAGCAATACAAAAAAGACTCTGTTTTCAGAAAGAGAGAGAGGAGAAGGGAGAGAGAGAATAGAAGAGGGTTAGGGATGTAGTTCATTGGTAGAGCACTTGGCTAGCACAGTCAAGGCTGGAGGTCCAGTCCTCAATAGCAACAAAACAACAACACAAACTTGAGAGGAAAGTTTTGGTGATTCCAGTTTAGATGCTGTTGACTAAAGAACTATTGCAGTTGGTCCTTCAGGGCAGTCTCATTGTGAATTTAACTAAGCATGACCATGGGCAGAAATATAGTATGCTTGATAGTCTGGTGTGATGCTGAGCATTTCTGCAGTTAGCCCTGATTTATAAATGGATCTTGAAAATTAAGTAAGATCAATGGAGTTTGAGTTGAACTTAATTTTATTCCATACTAGAAAATTCAAACAAGATCTACTTAAGCACGTTTAGGTGATAGGCAATAACAAGCGATGTGAGAGACAGTAGCAGAAGGTAGGCTATCTTAGGTTGACTGTAAACTCTGACATATGCATGGGGGGAATGTTTTTCGAGACAGGGTTTCTCTGTGGCTTTGGAGCCTGTTCTGGAACTAGCTCTTGTAGACCAGGCTGGTCTCAAACGCACAGAGATTCTCCCGCCTCTGCCTCCCAAGTGCTGGGATTAAAGGTGTTCGCCATCACCGCCTGACTGACATATGGATTTTTTTTAAGTATTTTATTTTTTTTTAAAGATTCTATTTTATTTATTTATTATGTATACAACATTCTGCTTCCATGTATATCTGTACACCAGAAGAGGGCTCCAGATCTCATAGCGGATAGTTGTGAGCCACCATGTGGTTGCTGGGAATTGAACTCAGGACCTCTGGAAGAGCAGTCAGTGCTCTTAACCTCTGAGCCATCTCTGCAGCCCGACATATGGATTTTAATGACAGAAATGATTAAACAAATTAAACTTTATCAAGTGCTCACAAATACAGATCTATGAAAGAAAAGGTTGCAAATGAAAATGAAAACTATTTTTAATTAAAATCAGACTATATTTGTTTAATTTAGTTATAGAAAATTTCTTAAATAAATGAACTTCAATGTGCCTGTCATACTACAATGATTAGCTCATGGTGATCTTTATACACACACACTTTTCACACCCATGTTTCTCCACCCTAAGCCTCTAGATTAATTCAAAGCAAATTCTAGGAAATAATCCATGAACATTTCAGAGTGTATATTTAAAAATAAGGAATCAGTCTTCTGTGATGGTATGTGCCCATAACCTCAACCCTAGGGAGGTAGATACAGGAGGATCATGAGTATAAGGCCTGCCTTGTCTCAAAACTAAAGAAGGAAAAACCAGCAACGATAGAAAGAAAATCTTCAGAAATATTTTCCTAACAATGATTTAGGTTCTATAAGATATGACAGAGTTAGCTGGGCGTTGGTGGCGCACGCCTTTAATCCCAGCACTCAGGAGGCAGAGGCAGGAGGATCTCTGTGAGTTGGAGGCCAGCCTGGTCTACAGAGCAAGTGCCAGGATAGACTCCAAAG